CTTAAATACACTGAACACTTTATTTTCTCAGCTTACATCCTTAAGCTGTAAAATATAAGAACAAGAACGTGTTGAACTTCTACTTCAAAGTCTACCTGATTCATATGATCAACTCATCATCAACTTGACAAACAATAATGTCACTATTCTAGTCTTCGATGACGTTGCAGTTGCTGTTCTAAAAGAAGAAAATAGGCGCAAGAACAAGGAAGACAGACAAGTAAATCTGCAACAAGTAAAAGCGTTGACAACGATTAGAGGGAGATCAATAGAACGTGGCCAAAGCAGCAGTCACAAACATGGTAGATCAAAGTCGAGAAGTAAGAAGAATTTAAAGTGCTATAACTGTGGAAAGAAGGGTCACTTGAAGAAGGATTGTTGGAGTCTGAATTAAAACTCCAATCCACAAGGCAATACCGCAAACACTTCAGATGATAGAGATGCTCTATGTTATGAAGCATCAACCACCGTGGAAGGTAGAAAGAGATATGCAGATATATGGCTCATTGATTCGGGAGCAGCATATCACATGACCTCAAGAAGAGAATGGTTCCATCATTATAAACCTGTCTCAGGAGGTTCTGTCTATAGTTGCAATGATCATGCCTTGGAGATCGTTGGCGTGGGAACCATCAAATTGAAGATGTATGATGGAACAATTAAAGTTGTTTGATATGTGCGACACGTGAAAGGCCTGAAAAAAAATTTATTATCCTACGGATTGTTGGATAATAATGCAAGCAAGATTGAAACACGGAAAGGAATCATGAAGGTGTTTCGTGGAGCGCTTGTGGTACTGAAAGGCAAAAAGATAGCAGCAAAATTGTACATGCTGAAGAGAGAGACTTTGCTAGAAGCAGAAGCCTCTGTTGCCTCATGTAGTTCAGATTCTGCAATGCTATGGCATCAGAAACTTGGACACATGTCAGAACAAGGAATAAAAGTCCTTGCGGAGCAAAAGCTACTTTCAGGCTTAACAAATGTATCACTTACTTTGTGTGAGCATTGCATAACAAGTAAGCAGCACCGGTTGAAATTTAACACATCAAATTCTAGAGGCAACGGTGTTCTGGAATTGGTTCACTCTGACGTATGGCAAGCAACAGTTACTTCCCTAGGCGGAGCAAAATAATTTGTCTCATTCATTGATGACTACTCCAGGAGATGTTGGGTGTATCCTATTAAGAAGAAGTCAGATGTGTTTTCAACTTTCAAAAACTTCAAAGCACGGGTGGAACTTGATTCTGGAAATAAGATCAAGTGTTTCAGAACAGATAATGGAGGAAAATACACAAGTGAAGAATTTGATGACTTTTGCACGAAAGAATGCATCAAAAGACAGTTCACAGTGGCGAACACTCCTCAACAAAATGGAGTGGAAGAGCGGATGAACAGAACCTTGTTAGAAAGAACAAGATCAATGTTGAGGGATGCATGCCGAGAAAAATCATTCTGGGCAGAAGCAGTCAATACCGCTTGTTATTTGGTGAATCGAGCTCCATCAACTGCAATAGAGCTGAAGACACCAATGGAGATGTGGACTGGTAAACCAGCTGATTATTCAAACCTCCATGTATTTGGAAGTATAGTGTACGTGATGTATAACTCCCAATAAATTTCAAAGTTTGATCCAAAATCCAGGAAATGCAAATTCTTAGGGTATTTTGATGGAGTAAAGGGGTATCGCTTGTGGGATCCCACTGCCCGCAAAGTGATCATCAGCAGGGATGTTATCTTTGTAGAAGATAAGCTACAAAGAAAATAAGACGATGATAGCACTGAAAAGTCAGAAACTACACAGATACACGTGGAAAAGGATTTTGAACAAGGAGATTCTTCTGAAGCAGAACCAGCACATGATGAACAAGAACCAGAGAGTTCTGAAGCTCCAACAAATCTTCAATCACATCGTGTGAGAAGACGTCCCAATTGGCACTCAGATTATGTTATAGAAGGTAATATTTCATATTGCCTTTTAACAGAGGACGGTGAGCCATCAACATACCAGGAGGCAATAAACAGTTCAGATGTTTCACTGTGGATGATAGCGATGCAAGAAGAAATCGAAGCCTTTCATAAAAATAATACATGGGACCTTGTGCCACTACCACAAGGAAGGAAGCCAATTGGTAACAAATGGGTCTTCAAAATCAAGCGAAATGGTGACGATCAAGTAGAGAGGTATCGTGCAAGACTGGTGGTCAAAGGATATGCTAAAAAAGAAGGTATTGATTTCAATGAAATATTTTCTCCTGTGGTTCGACTAACAACAGTTCGAGTAGTCTTGGCAATGTGTGCTACATTGAATTTACATCTAGAGCAGCTAGATGTTAAAACAGCTTTTCTTTATGGAAATCTTGAAGAAGAAATTTACATGCTCCAGCCTGAAGGTTTTGAAGAAAAAGAAAAGAAGAACTTAATTTGCAGGTTGAACAAATCTCTGTATGGTCTAAAGAAGGCGCCGAGGTGTTGGTATAAGAGATTTGATTCCTTCATTATGTGCCTTGGATACAACAGACTTAATGCAGACCCTTGTGCTTATTTCAAGAGGTCTGGTGATAACGATTTTGTTATATTACTGTTGTATGTGGATGACATGTTGGTTGCAGGACCCAACAAAGATCATATTGAAGAATTGAAGGCATAACTAGCTAGGGAATTTGAAATTAAGGACTTGGGATCAGCAAACAAGATTCTAGGGATGAAAATTCACTGAGACAGAAGTAATAAGAAGATTTGGCTTTCACAAAATAATTACTTGAAGAAGATCTTGTCAAGATTCAACATGCAAGATTGTAAGCCAATTTTTACCCTTCTTCCTATTAACTTCAAATTATCCTCCAGTATGAGTCCTAGCAATGAAGAAGAGAGGAAGGAGATGTCTCGAGTACCGTATGCATCAGCAGTGGAAAGTTTAATGTTCGCTATGATATGCACAAGACCAGACATTGCACAAGCAGTGGGAGTGGTTAGTTGGTACATGGCGAATCCAGACAAAGAGCATTGGAATACAGTAGAGAGGATCCTGAGATACATCAAAGGGACCTCAAATGTTGCATTATATTACAGAGGATCAAACTTACTAATCAATGGGTATGTAGATTCTGACTATGCAGGGGATTTTGATAAAAGCAAATCTACTACAGGATATGTGTTCAAAGTTGCTGGTAGAGCTGTAAGCTGGGTTTCAAAATTGCAGTCAGTTGTGGCTACATCCACAATAGAGACAGAATATGTAGCAACTACATAAGCCAGTAAAGAAGCAATTTGGTTGAAGATGCTTTTGGAGGAGCTTGGGCACAATCAAGAGTATGTCTCTCTATTTTGTGACAGTTAAAGCGCCTTGCATCTAGCAAGGAATCCAACATTTCATTCAAGGATAAAGCACATACGAGTTCAGTACCATTTCATTCGTGAAAAGGTGGAATAAGGGATAGTAGATATGCAGAAGATTCATACCAAAGACAACATAGCAGATTTCATGACGAAGGCAATCAACGCTGATAAATTTACCTGGTGTCGATCCTCCTGTGGCCTGTCAGAGACATAAGCAACATGAAGGTACAAGGTAGAAAGAATGGTGTGAAGATATGATTGTTCCATTCAAATCTTCAAGTGTGAGATTGTTGAAAATCAAGTCAAATTTGGCTATAGCAGCCGGTTGCTTTTGAAAATTAAATAGCATGCTTTTGTGGAAAATTGGCAAGGGTCAATTACTAATTTAGTCACTATAATTTAGGGTATTTACAAGATTATACCTTAAGCTTCAACTATAAATACCCTAACCCATTTAGCTTCAAATCTATCCCAAAGCATTCTAGCTTTCTTACAATACTAGAGAGAATTTAGAGAGTTTCTTGAGAGTTGTTTTCTCCCTTTTATCAAGAGAGAATTATCATTGTTTTCTCCTTGGTAGATCGAGAGAAGTTGTAATTCCTATTTTCTCATAGTGAAATTCTTCTACCGTTGTCCGTGGTTTTTACCCTATATTATTTAGGGGTTTTCCACGTAAATTTTGGGTCTCTTTTATCTTCATTTTTATTTTCTCAAATTATCAGTTGCGATTTTGCTCTATCTGATAGCCGTCTTCTGCAACAATCAATATGTACTATCGCTCAAAAAATTATCTTAAAAAAATATAATCAATATATTTTAGTATTATAAATAAATATAAAAATCACTCATGAAAATTACAAGGCCAACTAGATATTAAAGTTTTTTATTTATTCTTCATCAAAATCGCGATTGTAATATGAAGCCTTCCAAAAAAAGTAATATCTATATATATCTATTGAAAGCATTCGAACATGAACAGAATTAGAAATTTACTGTACCGGTGGTTAAAGTATTTTTTATTTTTCATGAATTTATTTTTTAATTGAGAAAGACATGGTAAAATTTTCTTTATTTGTTTTTCAAAAATATATATTTTTTCAATATTAACTAACACTTAAAATATAATTGACGAGGTCAAGGTTCCATTCTCATGATGTTCCGCCCATGAATTCGAACCGATATATGAATTCTCAAATCAATCGATTGAAGTGGAGGGATCCATAACGTTACTCGTAGCTTGACATATTATAAAATTTTTGTCACATTCTTTTATATATATATATATATATATTAAGAAATTGATTCTTAAAATATATTTTGATTCCTATATTAATTCTTTTAAATGTTTACTAATCAATATACAATGAAGTCAGTTTACCAACTAGATACTGATATATACAGAACCATCAATACTAGAATTATTGTGAGTTATGGAAAAGGGACATTAACATGTTTTCATGGCAACCCTGACCTCTACCTCGTAACAAGTTAACAAGATGCTAACAAGTTCAAATACATGTATGTATATGTGCGACAACTTAAAGTCAAATATATAAAATTCCATGAAACCATTAAAAAACATAGAGGGCCAAACCCTAATTCCAAAAGGAACTTGAGATCAAAATTCAAATGTATGGTGCAACCATGAAAAACTAAGGTAAAACTCAAAAGTATTTATTAGTTTTGAATGGAGATCTACACAGAGGGCAATCCTGTTTCCTCTTAGCCCACATGTTAATGCACCAATAATGGAACTTATGGCCGCAAGCAGCCATGGCTCTGACTTCCTCACCTTTCTGCATATCTTCAAGACAAATCCCACAAGCTCCGACATCTTCATCTTCTATTTTCACACCTTCACTTCCGGCGAGCGCGGGGTCGATAGCTTCTGACAAGATTTTAGCAAGTTCAATCGCCACCTCGAACTTGACTTCCATGAACGTAGTTTCAAAGTCTCGGCTGGTCAAACAAGCCCTCGACTTGGCCAGCCTCCTTTTCATGTAGTCAACCCGCATGAACTCCTCTCGTCCGTCGTTAAATTATATATGAAGTCGGCGTTGTTGGATCGTCAGAATCTTCATCGGAATCGGGAGTTGAGATTAATCGACCCCAGTTGCTTAACAGGTCCAGGGTTTCGGCTTCGAGTCTTGCTATACGTTTCACGAGATCCATGGCGGCGATAATGGTGAATCAAAAATCGATACGTTAATCGAAAGAGTTATTGAAGAAGAAATTGAGGAAGGCTTTAGAAACAAGAAACGGGTTGTATTTATAGGTATTGGCATCTGTTCTTAGCAAGCGTTAATTACAAACCGGCATTGGCAAGTTGACATATACATATATTTTCTTATCAAAAAATATATACATATATTTTTTTATAAATATAAACATACAAATTTTTAATGTCAAATGGATAACAATTTGATATATTTTGAGTTTGAATTCTGTCATTTATTATTATAATAATAATAATTTATTTTAATAATTATTTAATATTTTTATAATCACTTAATACTTGAGTATTTAATCTTTTTGATAAAATAAATATTTAATTTATCAATTAATTAAATTAAATATTAAATGCTATTTTAAAAAAACCTGACATTGCACTATAATTTACATGTTATGCTATATTTATACTAAATTTTTAACTTAAAAGAAATATTTTTGAAAAGTGGATTGTTGATCCCTCAATAGGCTTGGACATGAGAATTCGATTACCAGATTAAATATAATATTAAAGGATTAATTTGATAAAAATATAATTTTATTGTTAAAACGAGGAATTAAAGTTATATGAATATTCTATTGAATTATAGATATGATTTAACATTGATAGAAAATAGTCTCTCTCTCTTTTGTATTCCTTTTTTTTCCCTTCTTTGAGTTTTGTTTTTCATAGATCAAATCAATTTTTTTCTTTGATTTTCTTTAGCCGGAGAAGATATCGACTTTGATGTTGGTTGTCGACCGTTGTTTCTCTTTTCTCTTTATTTTTTCTTTTGTTTTTTAATAAGAATAATATGTCTGTTTTGTACATTTATCTCTGTATTTGTGGCACGTTTATCTCTGTCTTTGTGACATATTTTTTGGGTTTTTTCTTGGCAGTTTGTCCGTCCTTTTATTTATGTTTTCTTAGTGTTGGATTTGACGACGCCACGATTGATCAATATATTTCTTATTCGAAATCTTGTTGATCTTCTCTGCTATGGACCTTTAAATTGAATTTGGATGCGTGATTTTGCATTTTTTGGATAGTTTCTCATGACGCTCAGCTCTGATTTGCAATTCTCGATGGTCTTTTAATAGTTTAATTCTCTTTTGTGATTCATTTGTCGATTCAATCATATTTATTCGTATATATTTTTGTTCAAGTTTCTTGGTTAGGTTTTTAAACTTTTACATGTATAGTCCTTATATAATCTAAAGTGACTAGTTTCAACGTTATAAGAAAAACCCAAATTATATATTTAGTTTACGATGATAATTGTAAGCTCTTATTGTAATTTCGGATATTTCATTTTTTTAATCGTGTAGATATGTAAGCTTAAAATATTTTAAATTATTATTTTAGCCTAAAATCGAACAAATGGCTAACATGTGAATTGAAAATATATATCTTTTTCTGATTTAATATGAAATTTCTATATTGTGCTATGTCCAAACATGTTAGTATATGTAACTGATATATAAAAATTATATCTTGTATAAACGACTGAGTTATCATGTCTAATCAGTCAAAACGAATTAAATTGTTCATTTAGAATTAATAATAAGTTGTATACTAATCTGATAATAAAAACTGACAATTTTTTATACTTCGATTATGTGATTAATAATCACCTTATTATAGTGATGGCTTAATAAATGAATAATTGGTTTGGCTGTGCTTTGTTTGTTGGGATCTTTATATAGTAGAGTTTATTTTTATGTTAAAATATATCATATGTGTTCTTCATTGATTACGAAAAGGAGATATATAGGGAAAATCATAGCAAAGTTTGATGGACAACCCTACCGTATTTTCCGCGTCTCCTATTGCTTTGGAGAATGATGGCTTTCATGGAAATCGAGGAGGATGGGGCCTTAAGAAATAGGGAAGATGGGGACCCTTTTCCTTATGAGGAGACGCCTCAGAATGTCAATATGGAGGACTCGACGGACTTAGGTGCTGCGGTTGGCAATGGACTTGCGAATGACAATGTTCAAGTGATTGGCGAAGGGGAAGGTTTGCCATCGAGAGATGGTCAAAGTGTGGGAACACAGAGGGCCCAATCCTAGAGATTCAGTTTTCCAACCGAGTTCACGACCCGATTGACATGAAGCTTGCTAAATCTGTGATCATAAGGCTTCTAGGTAAGTCGGTTGGTTATAAAGCACTTTTGAATAGGAATTAAAGCGCTGCGGAGCCCTAAAGGAGGAATTCTCCTTATTAATCTGGATAATAAGCATAGTACATTACACACGCAACAGAAATAGTCTAAAAACAGTGCATTTTAGTGGGTGCGTTCGTGTGTGGGTGCGCGTGTTGTGTATACACGTGTGCGTGTGTATCATTTAAAATTTTCTTTTAATTTTTAGATATCAAGTATAATTATTTTAAAAAAAATATATCCAAATAATATAAGCTATAATAGTTCAATGCGTAGAAGAATCAATCATTATAAATATAAATTAATATTATTATCTTTATTTATCAAATCTATCGTTTCATTACCTTATATATATATATATATATATTGTTTATTGTAGACACAATATTTTCGTCCCATGTGTCACACATTTATAATATATAGTAAACATATATTATATTAATTATTTCATTACAACTACAGGTAAACAGCCTGCTACACGCGGCCCAGCAACGCCCTAGTGGTCCAGACCCAACAAGCACGTAACCCTAGCATTCCATCAGCGTCGTTCCTCACGAGTCCTCGCACATCACGCTCCCTCCTCGTAACAGCCTCCGCCAAACACGTAACTCGCCGGTCGTTTCGCTCACCACCAACGAACGTGAACACGTGAAACTCATAGCAACGTTCGCGTGTTAGTCAAAAACAATAAACCGAGTTTCACTCCGAATCAAATAGGCTAAACTTAGGGTATATTGTACTATAAATAGAACACAATATCATACGGATAGGGGACACACTACGATTTACAGAGGAAATACTCGAAAAGTTACGAGGCAAATCGGAACTATTGTAAACGCTTTGAAAGAAAATAAGAGAAAGGTAACATTTTTTACCTTATTTCCGTTTGTTCTTCGCATACAGTCGACATTGTTTTACTTTCTTCGACCCACAAAAGCTTTGGTCAATGAGTTTTTAGGGGAGGGACTGAGACTTTGATCTCAGATCTACCCTCCCCTGAGGCTGTTTTGTTAAAACCGTTCGGATATTTAAAATGGGAGCGGAAAAGCTTTTAAAAAATCAAATTTTTTTCGAGTTTTGCCGCCGATGAACGGCGGCCGACGAGGCGGTGCGGGGCGGCATAAGGTCGGTTTCTGGAAACGGGCGGCGGTGTTCTTGAATCTCAAGAACACTTGAGAGAATTTAAAACCCAAGGTGGGGCTTCTGTTTGAAACATGAGAAGAATGAAGAAATAATTTTTTTTAAGTTTTATACTAAGACTCGTTGGACCCGCGTGTTGGCTCGACCAGGATCCCATGATCCGCACGTTTTTAACCCAAAATGGGTAAATCCTCGTTCAGTCCCTCTGATTTTTCAAAGCTCACGTTATCACCTTAAATCATCATTTTTCCTTTGATTGGCTTCGCATTTGTCCCTCTAATTTGGATTTTATTTCAATTTGGTCCTATATAATTAATATATATGTTCCTATTTATCTTGTCACTTATTTTATTTATTGTTTTTCTTTTTATTTATTTATTTTTTATGTGTTTTCATTTCATTTTTTCCCTCATGTATATATATTATTATTATTATAACTTTTTTTACTACATAATATTATATATTTACCATTTTTTTATTTCCATTACATTATTCAATTCTCTTATTAATTTTTATTTCATTTATCTTTGTTTCTATTTACTTGTTCATTTTATTATTATTATGGTTTTCATTTTATTTATTTTCCTTATTATTGCTTCTTTTTATTTTCGTTTCTTTTATTGTATTTATCTCATTTATTTATTTCTTTTACCTTTTTATTTACTTTTCTACTCATTTCATTTTATTTTCCTTATTTTAGTCATTTTCATTACTTTATCATCTAGTATATTTCTCAGCTTTAAGGGTACATTTTTAATCATCTGAGGTAAGTAATAAGGATCAAATTTTACCTTTTAATTTTAACTTTCAATTCTCTTAATTAAAGACAACTGGAAATTATATAGTACCGAAAGGACAGTTCAAGGGTGTTAACCCTTCCTTGACTGTAACTGACTCCCGAATTCGACACATCTTTGGTAAGACGCAGATCAGGTAAGAAATAAGGTATATGATCAACCCGTTTGCTTTAAAATAAATGATCGATGGTGACTCCTAATCCATTTTCCTAAGTCGAAGCCCAATTTCGGGCCCAACCGAAAGACGGTTGCGAAAGATTGGCGACTCTGCTGGGGACCGGTAAATGAGTCAGGCTAAGGTAATTTTCAGTTGTCTTTTTAACGAAAAAGGTAAGTTTAAATTTTAAGGTAAGTTTAAATTTTAAGGTAATTTTCCGATCCTTATTACTTACTTTTGATTTTTTTTTTCCAAATAAATAGTTGTACTAACTGTTTTCTAATGATTTCATCCTTTCAAATTCGTTTTTCATCTAAGGTTCTATACTCGAGCTCCAACCCTATTTAAGTGGGGGTGAAAACGACGCCTTCGTGTGAATTTATTCACCGTGCGGGCCTAGCATGTAGCCTTCGGGAGTCATATACCTTATGTCTTCGTGTGAATTTATTCACCGTGCGGGCATAAGAGAATTTTCCTCTCGAGTTTAACTTAGTCCACATAAGCATGTAATGGGCTTAGGACTAAGGGTCTGGCAAGCCCAAGGGACA